GCCAAACGACAATTTTATCAATCGTCTGTTTGTAACTCCGTTTTCCAACCATCCGTTTTAACCGTCCGTTTCAAATAATTGTTTGATTGGTAACAAACGAGCGGTTGAACTATACCTCGTTTGCAAAAGAGGTAACCAATCGGTACCAATAAGGATAAAAGCTACATATAATTTCTATAAGAACAATTTATATATTAAAAAAAAAAAAACTTCTAAAACATTTTATATAGAAAAACGGAGGGAGTTGTAAAGTTCGAGAGTCTCAAGACCGGAACTATACCAAAGGGACCAAACTTCCATAGCATTTGCATCCCCAAGAGCTCTACAAGTCTGAGATATATTAGGTTTGACTTACACGATAGTCCATAGTAACTTTGACTGAACTGTGACAAGTGACAAAAGTGATATTGTTTTAGTCTGTGTGATGTGTATAAACACTTTACTCACTTTTTCAGATCAATATAAATTACCAAAGAAAATCTTTTCAAACACAAACGACACTGATTAATTAGATGGAGTAGAATCACTTTGATTCTAAGTTGGGGTCTCTTGGCACTTAGTTGGGACCGTAACGAGTTGGGCTGCAGAATAAGTTGGAAACTCCACGAAATGTTGTTTCCATCATCTGCAAGAAAAAGAAACTGGCTAAAGTGAAAACAAACAAAAAAATCTATATGAAATCGTCTGTCATTATGATTATATGTAGTCAATGAAGATTTAGCTTGATCAATGAGTTAAAATTAAAATAGATTTGTAAGATTTTGAGTCACCTGAAAAAGTTTATAAGCTGTGGAGACGAGGAAGGATCCACAATGGGTGTCTTCTTGTTCTGTTATAATGGGATCAACATACAAAGTTTCTCCCTCGGGACATGGATAAGAAGGAGAAAGTGAATGACTCAGCGATGTTCCATCAGTTGTTAAAATTTGGCCGGGAAGGTTGGAAGGTTCTTCAGATGTTATAACAGTCATCTGCATCATATTAAATCAACAAGTGAATCTATGTTTCTGTTTTTTTTTTTGTTTTATGTTGATCCTCAAAAGGAGAATCAAGAGATAGCATTTATGCCAAAAAGCTTACCTGCATTTGATTCAACATGCTTCTCCCATTCTCTACATCGGTTTCTCCAGACTGGTACGAAGACTCGACGATCCACTGGGAAATATCTTCTCGAGTTGGAGTAGAATGAGTTGGAAGACTTTCCAAATATTCTTCTTCATCTGCAAGGGGAAATAACTGGCTAGTGAGAAAAAACTAAGAAATGAATCATCGAGTCATTATCACTATTACCATGGGTTGATCCCCTGCATTAGAAGAAAACTTAAGACTTGTAAGATGTTTGAGTTACCAAAAAAAGATGAGAAGTTCAACTCTTCATCGTCAGTTGAATGGTCGTACGAATATTCTTCTTCATCTGCAAGGAATAAAAAATAAAATAAAAAACAGGCTAGTGTGAAATACTAAGAAATCATTATGAGAAGGAGAGACAGGGCAGAGCTGTATGCCACATCCTTTTATCATTTGGACCGAATAGGGACAAGCTTCTGTGTGCGAACAACCGTAATCAAACTCAAATTTCACATTGTCGTTGTCCATTTCAGGGGGAAATTCAGTTACTTCTTCTGTACGGAACCCAAAGAGGAACAAAAGCAGATGATCCATCTTAAGATACTCCCTCTTAACCGACAAACGATGAAAGTGAAAACGATGCACTCCGGTTTTGCCTCTGAAGTACCAGCGTACCCCAATGCATGGTAAATCAAACTCCGAAACAGTTGTAGGTCCATGCACGATGCCAATTTTAAATCCCAAAAAATCTTCAAAAAGAGAGCTCTTAGGTATAGGAATAGTTATGGAACTTCCACAAGCTCGATGCGTGAAAAACTTTAGCACTTCTCCAACCGGTAAGACAGCGTAGTTGAGATCTGATTGTATGATGGTTTTCTGTGCGTTTTGATCCAAATTGATGCAGTTATCGAAATTGAGAGAAATCCTTGGATGGTACGAAGAGCGAGAGACAGTACCCTTGAGAGATTTGAAAATCTCTGAGTCGCCAAATTTTGTGACTCCTTCACAGTCGGAAAAGTCAACCAACAGAAGCCATTTTAATTCAAAAATGTTTGGAGATATGTTTTTTAACCTCTTGCAACCTCTCATCTCGAGATTATTGAGGTTAGAGAAACACTTAATCCAACAAGGAACTTCTTCAATTGCTGTGTAGTTGAGAAAGAGTTCGTTTATGTTCCTTGTAATCTGAGGGAAACTTTTCAACTGTGAGCAGCCAATGAGATTGAGAATAATGAGAGAATTCAAGTTCAGGTTGGTTGGAAGAGAAACGAGCCATGTGCATCGGCTCATGCTCAGCTCGTGTAGCTTATTGAGACTTCGAATTGAACAAGGAACAGTCACCAAACTTTTGCAATCATTGAGAAGCAATTTCTCGAGTTTGGTGGCCTTTGAAAGATTTGGAAACTCTTTCAGGTTTTCAGATCCTGACAAATCCATCTCCAAGAGATTTCTAAGTGACTGAAACAAGGAAAGAAAAAATTAACAATGCATTGAACAATTTTCGAAAAGTAAACAACAGTATTTAACCTTTTTCAGCGTGTTCTGTTTTTTCATAATTACTGTGTCATCAACATACATACCTAATGGTTATTTTCAAAACATTGCAAGACATACAAAGAAAGACGGAGCAAAAATTAACAAAGAAATTTCGAAATAATACCTGGACTCCTTCCCAAAGTTTTTCAAGCTTGCTATTTTGTATACAGAGATAAGCGAGGGATTGTGGACGAAAGTTAGAAGGCAAACATCTCAATGGACAAAAGTTCCAAATAAGATAAGTGAATCCAGAGATATTCTCTATCCACGAAGAACCTTCTTCTTCTAATAGCAGTTCCATCTAGGCTGAACCCTGAAAGATTCTTTGAAATCTTAGGAAAGCTTCTCAACCGTGGGCATCCAAACAGAGAAAGACACTTGAGAGATTCCAAGTTGACATCAGTTGGAAGAACCTTGAGCTTTGAGCATCCACCCATACGTAAATTTATCAGTTTCTTGAGATTTCGAATTGAGGAAGGAAGTGCACCAAAGATGTACATTTCAAAAGATCCATTTTCTTGATATTTATGGCATGAGAGAGATCTGGAATTTCTTTTAAATTTATGGATCCAGCTATATTCATCGTCTTGAGACTTCGAAGTTGATGAAAATAAAAAACCGAGACAATACACTTGTTCAATTTCTTTTTTTTTTTCCAATCATTTGTCCATATTCATTCATCAAAATGAAGAAAAGAGAACGGTTCTAACAAC